ATCCCGTGTGAGATCTGCAGAACCTCGTGTGAGCGATGGTTTATAGTTGATTGAGTCATGTTAGCATGTGAAGCATCATGATATGCATTAGTGTTAATTGATCCCGTGTAGGATCTGCAGAACCTCGTGTGAGCGATGGTTACATTTGATCCCGTGTAGGATCTGCAGAACCTCGTATGATGCGATGGTTATATTTGATTCCTCGTAGAATCTGCAGAACAATTGTGTGCCCATGTGGGGTGTGGGCAATCAGATTTTGTACCCATGTGGGGTGTGAGCAATCCTGAAACATCGTGTGCCCATGTGAGGTGTGAGCGATGGGTGAACATCGTAGGCCCGACGGGGAGTTACTTCGGTAACGAGCGATGGTTCCATTTTGGTTCTTCAATTGAACCTGCTGAATTGAGTCGGTACCGCATTTGCATCTGCATAGAGTCGTGAGTCGGTCTCTATGAGTTGCATTATCATCTTTATATGATACATTGGTGAAATAAACATGTCTGTGAATGTTTATGTGAATTGGTGATGATATAAACATATTGTGTATGTTTATGTGAATTAATGCGAATTGTGATAATGGCATGAGTGAGTATGCTTGAAGATATGTGTGTGTGTGTGTGTGTTTATATATATATATATATATATATATATATATATATATATATATATATATATATATATATATATATATATATATATATATATATATATATATATATATATATATATATATATATATATATATATATATATATATATATATATATATATATATATGTGTGTGTGTGTGTGTGTGTGTGTGTGTGTGTGTGTGTGTGTGTGTGTGTGTGTGTGTGTGTGTGTGTGTGTGTGTGTGTGTGTGTGTGTGTGTGTGTGTGTGTGTGTGTGTGTGTGACTATATGTATATATGTAGGTTTATATGGATTGATATAAACATTGGTGATTGCATATTGTATATGCTTGATGTTCTATTTTTATATAGATACTTATATGGATACATTGCGATGTATAGAATGATTGAGGTGAGTTGTGGTGTGAATGCGGAAGATGCGCGAACTGATGATATATATATATATATGATTTATGCATTGTATATTATGATATTGTTTCTCACCCTTCTGCTGTTTTATGATGCTCTATGAGGCATTGCAGATTAGGTGCTGGTGATCCCTTTTTGTGAAGCGCGTCTTCATTAGTTTTGGTCAGATGGCTCTGATATGTAACACCGGGTAGCATAGGAAGCCTTGGGCTATTTTTGATGAATACATTGGTATATGTATTATTGGTGTTGCATGTTTTGTAAACATGAATGTTGTGGATGAATTACATTGAATGGTGTGAATATGTATATATGTGAATACATGTCGGTTGTGATTCAAATGTTTAGATTTTCCGCTTTTATTCTAAATATTTGAGATGTGCGTATAAGGACTAAGATCCTCTGATGTGTTTGTTACCCATTGTTGCATATCTATTATGAGCAGGTGTTATTTGTGTTTTAATTCAAGCATAATGTGATATGTTCCTTTTATACCGTATTTTAAATAATACTCTGATGAAATTTTGAATTCGTGCCTAATTGATTCGTTTGATTATTTGGGGGTATAGAAAGGGGGTGTTACAAAAGGTGGCTTATGTGATCACCTATCCACCTTGAATACTCGGGTGTGTTCTTTCCTTTCTCTCACTCTTATTTATATTTATGTTTTTTCATTAAGGACAATGCATGTTTTAAGTGTGGGGGAGGGAACCATTTTTTTATTTTATTTTATTTGTTTTGTTTTGGTTTTGTTCTTAAATAATAAAAAATAATAAAAATTTGTTTACTTAGAACACAATGCATTTTTTGAAATTTTTGGGCTATAGATCAATTTGAGGTTAGATTGTGGAGACTTGGGAATAATTCATAAGACCGGTATTGTTTTAACACCTTAAGTCTCCCGAATATGGAAATCAATTTAAATACTTGTTATGGCATAGTCTTGGGTTCTCGTCCTTTAATAACTCTTAAGTAGTTTATCTAGCAGTCAGCACCATCTAGAAATCACACGCTAAGTAATTGAGCTGATGCAAATAAGTGAATGATCCCGTGCTTAATAAGAAGTCAAAATAGGAATCCGCCTTTTAAGTTAGGTGACCCTCACCTGGTCACTTAGGCTAACGGTTGTGAAACCTTAAAAAAAAGAGATAAAAAAGTGTCTAATTCTGAATTGTTGGAAAAAATATGGATCATAGTCACTAACAAGCTCATTTACCATGTGTGTGAATAGATAAAGGGCTTAATGTGATTGCACTAGAATGAAAGAGAGCAAAAAGGAGGATGAGTAAGTTAGATTTAGGCATAACGACATGATTTGGATTGGTTTGTATAGGAGGGAGCCTTATGACCGTACAATTGTGAATTTGTGTTCTTACGATATCCTTAGTGTGCAAAATTAGTACCTATCGATGCGATCTTGACCAAAGAAGAGTTCACAGCCTAGAATGAATATCTAAATGTTCTTGTGTTTTGATAATACTTTGCTCGGAGTGCAAAGGTTCAAGTGTGGGGGAATTTGATCAGTGCATTTTGATGCATCTTCCTCTATGTTTAGGCTAAGACATTTCTATAGTTTAGTTTGTTTAATTTCATATTTTATGATGTTTTTACAATTTAATTTATTTTCAGCTTTATTTGATTTTCGTTTCTTATTTTTCAGTATTAGCAGTTTTTAATAAAAAAATCATAATTAGAGCTACATGAATCGGATCAAGACGTTCTACCAGTCGTTGGAAAGCTAAGGAAAATATCTATAACTTTCATGTTGCACGGAGAAGCTGATTCAGATTGCTTGAGTCTCGAATAATTTGTTGAAGTTTCTGACTTGTGATAATATAGTTGTTTTTTCTTTTTGGGTCTGATCTAGGTTTCCGACCCAGTTGAGTGTGTAATGCAAACCTTATTCTGTTTATAAGGTTGTTGCTATGATGCAAAACAACTACACTAGTTTATTTCCGATTTTCTTTTTTGCTTTTCATAATTTTCATGGCGAACTAATCCTAAGGGAAAATCAGCTGGTTTCGAATCCCGTAATTCTTTGAGGTTTATTTCAATTTCGATTTATTTTAATCTCGTTCCAATTTGTTTTATGACTTCGTTTGCTTAATTCGTTATTATAAGATAAATTGGATTTAATTCAATCGATCAATGTTCGTTGACTTAATCGCGGATTAACTTAACTTTTTCGTTAATTTGCGCCATCTTTAACTGTCTGCTTAATTCGGTAATTAGGAATGAAAGTCGTGCGATATTGTCGACACTTGTTCGTCATTAGTGCAATCGAATAGGGATTGGAACCGCTTGGAAATCAGAATTGTAATGACCAATGATAAGTTGGGAGTCGAACCGGTAGATTTACCTGTTTTAATCACTTATTTTTACCGTTTGCTTTTCCTTAATCAAATCCTAATCAAAACAACCCCCCCAAATCGTTTCAATTGACTATTTTATAAATAAGAATCCTTGTGAATCGACATCCGAGTTACCGTCACTTGTACTACGTTTTTCAAACTGCTCGATTTTGATCCGCGCGCGACCGCGGATCAATACCATGGTGTGTTAATGCCAAGGCAGAAGAATACAAACACAATTGCAGAGATACATGACTACACTAATTCAAATTTCAGTGGAGATCAAGATGAGAAGAAGAGTATTGTAGGCTACATATTCAAAATTAGAGGTGCTCCAATCTCTTGGAGCACAATAAAGCAACACATTGTGGCCTTATCCTCTTATGAAGCTGAGTACGTAGCTAAATTTTATGCAGCATGTCAAACGATATGGATGGAGATATTACTTGAAGAGCTCAAGATCATGGAATCTATGAAAATGAAGTTGCTTGTAAATAACAAGTCAGCTATCGACTTGAAAAATCATCTTGTGTGTCATGATAGAAGTAAACACATATAGAGGATGTATCATTTCCTTAGGGATCAAGTAAATAAAGGAAAGCTTAAGTTTGAGCATTGTAAGTCAAAATGAAAACTAGCGGATATACCCACCAAGCCCCTAAAAAATTCAGGTTTGAAAATAAGCATTGTGATGAGAAGCCTTGAAAACATGAATTTTGTGGTGTGTTAGAAGGTAATAATTCATTGTTTATTATGAATGTCTAAATTCGACAACATTGTATTCAACCTAGTCAAAGTAGTTGTATTCGGCAACGTTGTATTCAACCTAGTCGAAGTAACTGTAGACAACATAGTCAAAGATACTTGAGTAGGAGTTAGTTATATTCGCGAGAGTCAAATACAATATGTGAACATCAAATGTTGTAATCATGTATTCGACATAGTTGAATTCATTATTTAGTTAATTTGTTGTAATAGTTGTTTGGATAAAAACCTATGATGATGTAAATAAATATAACAACTTTATAATAAAATTTCCATTTTTTACTATATAGTTTCTCTCTCTTATTCTATTCTTCTTCATTTTATTGAAAACACTAATTGTTCCAATATTTATCTCATATTAAAGGGGTTTTGATGGGAGGAAATAAAATTTTGCTAAGTTGACTAGTGGTCATTGCCCTAGATTTTTTTTTTCTGTTAAAGAGAGGGAATGATGATTCGTTGGTGTCTAATCAAGTGGTTTGGTGTCATTGCTGAAGTTTATAAATGCTGATGCACTAAAAATCAACGTTGATGCATAATTCTATTCTTTACCAACACATAGTAAAAATGTTAATGATGTCACTGCTGTTTTCAATCAGATTGCTGTTCTCAAGTCCACAAAGATTTACAAAGATTGTGGGAATTTAAAAAACAATCAAAAGACACAGAAACTTGACAATTCACTACTTTTAGAAATGTTTCAGGTGTATAGCTCCAATATCTAAAAGAATGTTTATATGGAGGCACATTTTAAGATATGGTTGCACACATGAATAACGTGAATTAGGGAAACTGAAAACTCCAAGAACCTGTTGCAAGAGATAAAACCACTTCTTCATGCTTCACTACCTTGTCAAGTAAGTAGTTTTTGTTTCTGAGTTTCCACCTAAACTTAGTTTCTTAAATGGCGACTCGGGTTCTTCAAGTAGTTTGTGCTCAAACAAAACATAATCAATAGCCTGGCCCAATTTCTTGTCGTCTTGAACATTATGGAAGCAACCTCTTCTCTTAGCATCAAGAACCACATTTCTCCAAACAGAATCGCTATTGATTAAAGTAGATGCATTTCCTAATATCCAAAGACAATATCTATACGAAAGAAACACAGTTTTCAGTAAATATAGTTATAGAAGTAGCCTATAACAAAAATGTACCATACCTAGCCCTGGTTATAGCCACATTCGCTCTTTGTCGATTTGAAAGAAAACCGACATTACCACTCCCATTAGATCTCACAGTAGAAATTATTATAATATCTTCTTCACCGCCTTGGAAACCATCCACAGAACGGACATTAACAGAGAAGCCAGAATTAGAAGCCAGAGTGTACTGCTTAACTTTCTCCTGGATTTCATAAACTTGAGCATTATACGGAGATATTATTCCTATGCTAACTTTCTTCTTTGTCCTCATGAACACTGACAGAACAAACACAAAAATATATAATTCATATTGAGGTTGAAGATTTCTCATTCAATAGAATACAAATTAAAAGTTTTACAGAAAAGAGAAATTGACCTTTATTAAGGCTTTTAATTATCTCTGAAATAACAGCAACCTCAACCATGTTCTTTAGACTTTGTCCCTGTCCAAGTTTTTCTTTTCCCTTAGCTATGTTAATAAAAGAATAAGAAGAAAACATTTCTCCTCGAAGGAAAAGCTTCTTATAGCTTTCTTCCCTGACAACAGGAGCATCAAAAAGCTTTTCATCATAGAACTCTTTGCATGGGAACAAGCTGATGGAAGGATGCATTCTGTATTGAACATTAAGCATATGCCTCTTGTATCCTAAAATTACCAGTCTCTCGAACATACTTCGTCCAAATTCACACTTATCTGCAATCTGCAAATGTATAGTAGTTTTGAGTATATTAGACAAAATCTTCAATTAATGAGAAAAATCAACAATTACATGCAATGATAAAGTACCTTGCTTTTTACCAATGCAGGAAGTTGTCTCTCGTCTCCTATAAGGATGCAATGGCGGAGACCTGTCAGCTGTAATGGAATTGTTGATTCACATTCTTTTAGCTGTGCGGCTTCATCGATTACTAAAAATTCCACTGGTTTCACCATTGCTGAGTAGTACATTTTAACGGAACTTGATGCAGTGCACAAAATTAGGCAAGCATTCGACAAGCAAAAATCTCCTACCTCAACTCTCATGTTACCTCTCTGGTCAAATTCAGGAATGGAAACTGTGTGAGAAAGTGAACTTAGTATGCTAAGGCACTCATCTCTTCTGACATATAATGTTTGAAAGTAAGCAGGAATGCTTCCATCTTTATTACTCTTGAATTTGACTTGCCACATGGAAATTCCAATAGACCTTAGCAAATCAAGAGCTTGAAGCATTTTTTTCACCGTTTCAAGTGAAATACAAGATTTTGGCATGTGTGTGTATAAGCTTTGCATCAAGAACTTGAGCTTCTTTGTTTGTTCACCAAATCTCCACCTGTATCCGAATACAGCCTTGCGTTTTTTCTTAGCGAATTCCTCCATGGAATTGAGCAACCGAATCATGGATCGCAAGTTAGTCTTCCATCCAGTAATTGGATCAAAGCACTCCATGAGATTCTCAACCCGGTTATCAAGAAAGATATCTTCAAGGCCTGGATGAGAACTTAATTTCATCCTCTTACTATTTCCAAATAGCAGAATGTCACCCAAACCATATCTATCATGCTCAAGTGAATCCATAACTAACCCATGCAAACGAATTGCAACTTGCAACACTGCGGTATTAGTTGGCGCACAAGTCAATGTTCTTGATTTTAACTTGAGTAGAGAAAATAGCAAGCATGCAACCGTCTTTGTTTTTCCTGTCCCTGGAGGTCCCCATATAAGTTTGATATCAGCGTGGTTACAATTCATCATATCAATACTGCTCAAAACAGCATCTTGTTGGCATTCATTCAGTTTCTGAGAACAAATTATCATGTCTTCTTTGATGAATGAAGCTTGACTATTTTCTTCCGAGAGGCAATTTTGACAGTTTTCTCCACTCTGAAATACAAAACAAGCCTTAATCAGGTTGCACATTTAACTGCAAAATTGTTTCTCAGTGATCTCACATGCATGAAAGCTAAACATCAACAATTTTGTATGTTAGTATTCCACAGTATGATATATATATTAAATGAAGAAGTAACTTATTCAGATTAAAAGAGTATTCTTACAATCAAATGCGATCCCAACACAGTTTTAATAATGTTGAGGTGTTCACCCTCTGGGCGTGAATTCAGTGCGTTTGAAATGCGAATATTTGTCGTCAAGTTAATAAGGTAAACTACATATAGTTTCTGTTCATTGTTATTCCAAAATTCATTTTCAATATCCATCTTCATGCATTTGGATGAAAGAACTGAGACCGTATGCGAAAATTGATTTTTTGCCCTAACATAGGCAATATGGTAGGGACTTTTGAGTGTGTTCAAGTCATCTAAACTCTTGGGTCTAATATTTGTGAAAGCAATGAGATCTCCACTTCCAGGTTCATAATTCCCACCATCTCCCCCACTGTGAATTGTACTCTTCAACTGTAATTTATGATGGAACTGTTTGAATTGCTTTTGAGCTTTGGGAAGTCTTGATTGCTTGCTGCTCACAACTTTCTTGATTTCACAGAAAGGAGCTCTTGACACAGCAGTAAAGCTTGAAGATAAATCGGCACGTGTTTCCTCAAGCAATAGAGGAATGAAAGAGTTCTTGTAATCTGTTGGTGACTTAAACGTCTCTGGAATTTTATGAACCTGACAGAACATAGGTCTATCCAATGTTAGAACTCAGTAGAAGTTAGAACATGCAATAGTAGCATAACTAACAATAGATATTTTCATTTCATGCAAGTGCACCTTGTCTTTGTAAAGATTTTCGTTAATAACATCCTCGAGGGGCCATGAGAGTACAACATCTAAAAGCCTGATAGGTTTAAGGTCTTCTCCACTTGCATTACTAGTCGTCTTCATCCTTTGTTCTTTTCAACTCTATAGCAATCATTAAGAGAAAAAATATTAGTATACACGCAAGTAAGTGGAAACACAAAGATATAGGGAATGAGACAACCTAAGAAACTGTTGAAATGTACTTAGTATGTTTTGTTCACAAACATTAGAATATGAGAGGTTAGAGGCTTAGAGCCTAAGCATGGATAAGAAATTTTGGTGATTTATGTTATTAATTAATGGAAGCTGTGCTTAATCATAGGAAAAGTACTCGTTTTAATTATGGCGAATGATGATTGTTTCATAGGAAATGACAAGATATATGATGCATCGTCTTATCGACTTCTATAATTTTCATGCACGAACATATGCCGCATAAAGATAGGTGTCACAATACACCCATCGTGCTTTCAATTGGTTTCATTTTAAGATACTTATTTATTTATTCAATATTTAATTTAAGTTTTATTGAAATAAAAAAAATGCTACTTTTTGAAAGAAAAAATAATAGATAAAGGGAAAATAAAACAAACAAAATAATATGAACAAGAAAGAAACAAATAAGTAACCAAACATAACCAATCTCTCACACTATGAGATTTAGTGTTGCAAGTGATTTCTTCTTTAGCCGTGGTTTTTTTGTTTCTTCTTCTTACTTTTAGAAACATACAGCGCGAATGTTGTGTCATTATGCTTTTCCAAGTTTCTTGAATAATAGCTATGTCATCTCTAACATAGCTACTTGGTTACATATGGGCACCCTCTCTTGTTTCCTATCAACATTACTCAAGATGTCAAGAATGTAATTTCTTGTGTCGAAATATATAGTTCGGACATAAATAAGTTGTTAAGATGTCGAAGTGTATTTTGATATGGTTTGACTTAATTTTATTTATTTGTTTTAGCTTAATTAGTTAGATTAATTGAAGATTACTTGGCGTGTAAGCAATCTAAACCTATAAATAGGGAATAAATCTATTATTGTAAAGTGTAAAAAACAGTGCAGTTGCATAAAGAAAAAACTGAATAAAATTTCAATTTGAAAGCAGAAAAAAACTCTGCAAAATTCTTCTTCTTTTTTTTCCTTTTTCTCTCAAACCGTAATTTCAATTTTCTTTCCCAATTCATAAATTTCTTTTCTTCTTTCATTATCGATTGTGCAGCAGAATCATTTTACAACTAAGGTTGGTTGATTCACGTAAGTGAAGAAGTGAAGAACAAAAGGCAAATCAATTGAAAGAATTGATTCTTGTTCATTAAGATTGATTCGAAATTCTCCCTAGGTTTGGTGTAATTCCAACATCCGGTATCTAGAACATTGACTGTGTGATTCTTGACAAATATAACGCAGTGAATCATCCGAATGGGCATTCTCCAGCGAGTCTCCCAATTCTGAAGAATCAGAATTACGAGAATTGGTGCAAGCAGATAAAGAGTGTTTTCTGCTATCAAGATCTTTGAAATTTCGTGAAGGAGGGAATGAAGTCGTTTGCTGAAAGAATACTAATGTTAATATAATAAAGAATATGAGAATTACTAACATTATTATTGTCTAGGTTTTGTAGAGAGTATTAATTGTTTAATGAGACAACACTTATATAGTTAAACGGGCGAGGAGTTGAACCTCTCATTGGTCTTAACTGAAGAATCGCCTTATTAACAACATCATAGAAAGCCTGGATGACTGAGTCATTACATGAAGAAAAGAACCAGTCAATTACAGAGATTTGATATCTAATTTGTGTTTTATATAAAAAAAATTGAACCCAAAATTGTGGGGAAAAAAAGACCTCAATGATGAGTAATGGGTTAGTGCTATGCAAGAAGAGCTTGTTCAAAATGAGATAAGGAAGTATGAGAGTTTTTCCTAGACCAAATTATGAAAATGACGTTGGCCCAGAATGGATTTATAAGAATAAGTATGGCGATAATGGATATGTTACTAGAAATAAAGCCCTCCTTCTGGCTTTAGGATACACTTAGATCAAAGTGGTTAACTTCAATGAGATATTTGCTTCAATTGCTCGTCTTTAAGCTAACGTATTATTACTTGGCTTGTTCTGTCTCCTTCGGTTTAAAATCTATCAAATGGATATGAAAAGTGTAACGCCCGGCTCGATTCTGATTTCCCATTTTTGTTGAGTCTTTTATTTTATTTGGGTGATTATTATTTTATTTGTGGAATTGGTGTGTTAATATGTTATGTTTGCATATTGGGCTATTTTATCGTTTTTGAGAGTTTTCGGAGAAATTAGGTTGGAGGGTATTTTAGATATTTCTTAATTATTGTTAAAGTAGAAATTTTGTGAGAAAATGAATTAGTAGATATTTTGTGAGAAAAGAAATAGAAAGATATAAGATAGAAAGAGGGGAGAAAAAGAGAAGAAAGAAGAAAAGGGAGAGAAAGAAAGAGGAAGAAGAGAAAAGAGAAGAAAAAGAGAAAAAACTTGCAGATCTTCAAAACAACTTCTAGGAATCGATTTAATCGGATAATGGTGTGAAATATTATTATCTTATCAATGGGTATGATTATGTATGTGTTTGTTGGATTGTTTGGTTGTTTTTCTACATTTTCCATTTTAGGTCGAAATTGGTAATCGATAGAAACCGATGTTTTTACGGTTAAAATTCGGAATAAATTGCGTAGTTTAGTCGAGGAATGTTAGGCCGAGACTATTGGAACTTGTTTGAATAAAATCGGGTGATTTTGTGATCTTCTGACATTTTTGGATATAGAGGGTTTGAGTAGCGCAGGATTCGCTAAGCGAGCCACTGGCGAGTGAGGTAGCGAAGTGTTCGCTAAGCGAGCACCTAGCGAGCTATCAGCGAACACTCCCAGAATTGGACAGAACCAAAAAGACCCAAACTCGCTGGAGCGAGTGGAGTAGCGAAGGCTCGCCATTTTGCTCGCCTAGCGAACATGCTAGCGAGCATGACAGAACAATATTTTATTTTTGTTTCAATCCAATATCGATTCTTTGATTCTTCGATGTGTAGCTTGTGTGTTGTTATATGTTATGTTGTGGGTAGCCGTATGGCGTGAATTCTAGATTGTGGAATTTATTGTGAATTGTGGCCTTTTGGCAAATATATGCATTGTTTAAATTAAATGTGAATGCATGATAAATGTGATAAAGTTCATTACCGTTGGCGTAATTGAATGTGAATGTGTATGGATTATATGTGATTGAATGAGATGAATGCATGAATATATATATTGTGAATATGTATTCATTTCAAGAATGTCTGGAGTCATTTTGCATGTGAAGCATCATGAAGTGCATTCTTGTGTTGTGGATTCTAATGAGAATTCGTTGTAACATCGTGTACCTATGTGAGGTGTGAACGATGATTACAAACGATTGTGTGCCCATGTGGGGTGTGAGGAATTGGATTGTGTGCCCATGTGGGGTGTGAGCAATCTATAAACATTGTGTGCCTATGTGAGGTGTGAGCAATGGGTGTAACATCATGTGTCAATGTGAGGTGTGAGCCATGATTACCAATGATTGTGTGCCTATGTAAGGTGTGAGCAATCAGATTGTGTGCCTATGTGAGGTGTGAGCAGTCCATAAACATTGTGTGCCCATGTGGGGTGTGAGAAATGGGTGAACATCGTGTGCCCATGTGAGGTGTGAGCGATGGTTCTAATAAGTTCCTGAGTAAACTTGTGATGATGAGTCGGTACCGCATTGCATTTGCATAGAGTCGTGAGTCGGTCTCTATGATTTGTATTTATCATCTTTATAATGGTGCATTGGTGGATGAACATAAATGTGTATGTTTATGTGGAATGATGAAAATTGTGAAAGTATGCATGATGAATATGCTTGGTTATATATATATATATATATATATATATATATATATATATATATATATATATATATATATATATATATATATATATATATATATATATATATATATATATATATATATATATATATATATATATATATATATATATATATATATATATATATATATATATATATATATATATATATATATATATATATATATATATATATATATATATATATATATATATATATATATACACACACATTGTGATGTATATGAGTGAGTTGTGATGAATTGTGGTGAGAATGTAAAATATGTGTATTCTTATGCTGAGATATATAATTATATGCATTGTTATTATGATAATATTTCTCACCCTTCTGTTGTTTTATGGTGTTTTATGAGGCATTGCAGAGTAGGTTTGCTGGAGGTCTTTTTGTGAATCGTATCTTCATTCTTTTGGTCGCCCGACTCTAATATGTAGCACCGGGTAGCTAGGATGTTTGTGATTCTTTTGTGATACATTTGTATATGTATCTTGTTGTTGGATGTTTATGTAAACATGACTTTGTTGTGGAATTATATTAGATGATATATATATATATATATATATATATATATATATATATATATATATATATATATATATATATATATATATATATATATATATATATATATATATATATATATATATATATATATATATATGTATATATGTTTGACGTTATTCAATGTTTAGATTTTCCGCTTTTATTCTAAATATTGAGATGTGGGTGTAAGGACTAAGTTCCTTTGTTGCAAAGCTACCCCACTGTTGCATATCTTTTGTTGAGCAGGTGTTGTATGTTTTAATTTCAAGCGTAATATGACGCGCCTCTTTTATACCATGTTTTTAATTATACTCTGATGAAATATTTTTAATATGTGGCTAATTGATTATGTGATTATTTGGGGGTATAGAAAGGGGACGTTACATTAAGTGGTATCAGAGCCAGTGTTGAGTCAGTTGTGTCTGTCTTGTTGTGTTGGTTGAACGGTTGTTTAACCTTGTTGTTATTTTTGGGAATGGTCAAAATATGGCTGGTCGTAATGACAATGCGATGACTGCTGCTTTGGAAGCAATGGCCAGGGCAGTGCAAGGTGCACCGAACGTGAATGCTAATGACTAGTTCAGGAAGAATCAACCACCGGTCTTCAAAGGAAGATTTGATCCC